CTGCTGCTGCCTGGCTGCTGCTTGTTTGCTGCTTGTCCGCTACGGCTGCTGCTGCTGCTGCTGCTGCTGCTGCTTGTTTGTTGCTGCTGCTGCTGCTTGTCTGTTGCTGCTGCTTGTCTGCTGCTGCTTCTCTGCTGCTTCTTGTCTGCTGCTTCTTGTCTGCTGCTGCTGCTTGGCTGCTGCTTGGCTGCTGCTGCTTGTCTTTGGCTGCTGCTTGGCTGCATCAAAAGAGTGGAGACATGTCGTGGCGGAGCTGTGGCGGATGTACTTTGGTACCTCGTCCGGTACCTCGTCCAAGCCACCCCTTCGTTTCCTGCTCTCCAATGGCTGCAGACCTATATATGGCAAGCACAGGTCTTTGCAGTACATGGCTCAGCCATCGAAGGCAGCTGCATAGGAAAGGGAATATTGCAAAATCCATTTGATGGCCGTGGCTTGACCATTTGCTTACTTGAGCATGTGTCTTGAATCCCTATTTTACCACAGCACCAGCAGCAGCAGCAGCAGCTGATTCAGGATTCCTTGCCGCAGCCTGATTTAGATCATTCAGTTTCTGGTGAGGTTGCGGCGAGGAATCCTGAATCAGGCCGCAGCGAGAAATCCTGAATCAGGCCGCGGCAAGGAATCCTGAATCAGGCTGCTGCCACAAATCCTCGACAGAGTTGGTTGCTGTGGTTATGTAGGGATTCAAGACACATGCTCAAGTCAGCCAATGATCAAACCACAACCATCACGAAGCCACTGGAGCATGCACATGGATTAGTATCAGTGCTTTGGGGAACCGTCACTTTGGTGGAGTGGATCATACGGCGTCCCATGGTGAACTCAGTCAAGAAACATGCCATTTCCTTTGTTTCCTGATCATAGTTGGATGTGCGCCCACATGCTGGAATACAGTTTTCTGAGGCGTTCAAGTAAGATTAAACGATAGAAACAAACATGTTCAAGTAAGATTAAACGATAGAAACAAACATAGTTTTATCGCTGCGTCCTGATGGTGATCTACATGTTTTTGCATTGACTTGTTTGACTTCCTGAATGCGCGGCGTCTCATGTGGAACTGGCGTGGTTTCTGAAATTGCTTTGACTTCTGCGGGCCGGTGTATCTATTTGGGCTTATTTGGGGACCACTATATGGCAGTTCGTTGTGACTTGTGACTCGATGATTGTCGACGACTCGATGACCCGTCCAAGAAGTACCAGGCCATGATCCTGGATGTGGGGGTGGTCCATGCTGATCCGCACCCTGGGAACTTCATCGCAACTGTGTCAGACTCATGTCCTTGTGTGCGGAATGCCATGGAATAGTCCATGGAATACCATATGCTACTCATTCACAAGGAATAATCATGAGCGTGCGGAATGCCAGGGATCTAGTCATTGTTCTATTTATGCCAGCCTTCCGAATAAAGGGGCCCAAAACCCCTACGCCGACTTTCAGGGACCACCTGCAGGGTACAGAGTTTTGATTGATGGGTCTCAGCTGAGGTGACCATAGCCAGACATCGCCGCAAGGGGGATTTCTGTTTCATGAAACTTGCTGGGGGAATCATGAAAGTCCTATGTGCTGTCGTGTTGCGTTGTGTTGGATGGAAGCAGAAATCAAAGGATAATATCTATAATATACAGGATTTGCAGGTATACTTTCTTCATCTCTTTTCAACTTGTTGGTGGGATCTATTGGCACCCACAGGGTGGATATGACGCACTACTTTGGGGGGTGTTTATTTTCACTTTGTGGATTAACTTTAAGAACTCATAGCATCTTATAGCTCATCATGGCTGATCGGCATTTATCAAGTCTATCCTGCTGGCTGCTGCAAGCACTTGATTTTCCGGAGGGGGTTCTTCTTTGAAGGGAGATTGTTTTGTTTTTGTTTCTACTCAGTATCTTCTCCACTTAGACTGCTTCCAAGTCACCAGCCGTCAAACAGTGTTTGTTGCTCTCCATCTCCTTCCCAAAGCACCTCGTCAACTCCCCCCCAAAAAAATAACAGAAAAAAACACCCTGACACACAGAGAAAATCACAGAACAATCTGACGACGGCTTAGGTCACCGGCGACGCCGAGATTTGCTTGCTGGACTTCGGCATGGTCTGCCGGGTCCCGGAAGCTCATCGCCGTGCCTGGGCCCAGTGCGTGGTGGACCTCGTGCGCAAGGACCACAGTGCTGTCCTGGACGACCTCATCGAGCGCCTGGTCGGACCACGGCACACGAGGACCGGGGAAGGCCCAGGTTCCTTTGAGGGGGTGAAAAGTGGCACACCGGAACCTTTGGGTATAGTTACTACAGTATTCATAGTATCTCACGCACGATTCATATGCAGTACAAAGATGTGTGATATACACACACTCCGCGGGTTCATCATGGAAGTGGACAATTACTGGTTTGTAGAGATGTTCATGGTCATCCAAGGGACCGTTTTCCACTTCCATGATCTAAGTCCAGGGAGTGTATACCTTTTCACATCTCTGGGGTGCGACGGACTGTCTCTTCGTTTGGCTTGGTGGTCCGGTCATGGATCGGGATCGTGTCTTGGCGACTGGATTGGGAGCATCATGTTTGGACTTTCTGGCTGGACTACCCTACACTACTTAGGAATCTATAGTCATGATGATGATGATGATGATGATGATGCTGGGGTGCATTTGTGTGTGTGTGTGTGTCCTCCCAGTTGTTCCTGTTTTGTTTGGGGGAAACCTCATGTTCGCGGTTTTTGACAATGTTTCCCAATATTTCAGCCATCCGGTTCGCTGTCAGGTATTCAACATATTCCACCATGTACCTCCATCCTTTCTCTGAGGATCGGCTTTTTCCCAGCGGACTGCCCTCGCCACGAGATTTTGCCCGTCATGTCCAAGATTTGGGCCAAGCTAGTGGAGTGCGGCAGCGACATCCACAAGCGGAAAAGCGCTGTGCAGTTGCTCTACCAGGAGATTTTGACCTTGGACCCTTGAACCAAAGCATTAGGCCGACCTGGGTGGGACATCCTGGGGAGCAAGCTGTCCCGGGCGTGCGGGATCTGACAATCTATATAGCTTTGTACAGGTAAGATGCTTGAATATTGGGGGATATTGGGGGTTGGTGGGTCGAGGATGCAGTTGGATCCATAGCTTCAGCATGCAGATGGCGCTTGGTGTGTTATCAAAAATTGAACCCTTTGGTGCAGCGCGAGGGGCGGCCAGGGGGTCGATCCTGTAGCTAAAAATAGCAGGGGAATGGACACTAGGAGTGAAGTGGATAGTGGAATCATGTTAAATCACACAATGCAAAAGAACCGCTTGAGCTGAGCTTATGATTATCTGATATTACATATTACATATTACATAAATGTATGTGATGAAGATCATTTTGGAGATCAACAGTGCATGTTTTGCGTATGAATCAAGTTGTGAGATTGCTGGTGTTTCCAATCGGTGGAGTCCTTCACATTCTGTGGCATATACGGGGCTATGTACACCTTTGATATTTGTACTTCCTCCTCATTCGCTGAGTGGCTTTACACCTGATGAAAAGTGTGCTCGGTGCAAAAGCATTGTTTGCGCAAACTCACTGTGTAGAGTATGGACGGGCCAGGGAAAACTGCGCAATGACGTAAGGACACGCAAAAGAGGATTTGAGAAACAAGCACCCCGATCGTATTCGACAATTTGTTTCGTGTTATATGCATTGGGGTAGAGGGCCAGGTATACGCATTTGGGTTGACAAAATGTGTCTCTCATTGCCAAGAGGCACAACTTTTCAACCAAACGCATGAGGCAATTTGTTCACGTCACAAACCGACTCTAGACCTTTTTTCACCAGGTGTAACTTTCCTCCAACTTCCCTCCACCTGGCTGAGTGAGTCGACTGAGGTCCGGCGGTTTGAGTTTAGCTTGCCTGATTACTATGTGGCCCTCGTGCGCGCGCTGCTCACATTGGAGGGCATTGCGCTGGCAGCAGACTGCCGCTCGGTTACATTTTTGGGGGGGAATGAGGAATGAGGACCGAAAACTGCCATCAGTTTTCAGCCGGTTGGTTTTGATCGTGCAGGCTCTCCATATTGCTGGGGTCATTGTGAAACTTGAGACGTACGATGTCCGCAGGCCTTCCAAGAAATACAGCGACCGTTTCAGTCGTGGAGCTTTTTAGGTTGCCCTTGTGGAAGACTATGTCCTACTGACATGACAATTAGAACATAGATTGAGAAAGGTTGAGCAAGGGAGTTCATATGTTCAGTTAGGCTGGGCTCCTGCGCCGAGCCTGCTTGTTCACCGTTAACCTGGAGAATTTCTTCGCAAAGACCATCTGAAATAGGACACCCCATGGGATTGATGAAGCATCCTGATGCAAAATACAAAGGCACGCTTTTTTTTGGGAAATTGGATATACTATGATTCCACATGTGGAACAACAACACTTTTCACGCAAACGTTTGCTCAGCAAGTGAGAAGGCGGGGGTTGCTCAACATAGGGTGAGCTTTACACACAACTGAGTGACAACCTACATGCGAAGAGTATCGAAGAGTCGTTACATTCCTCCCAAAAGTCGACGGGTGTTTCCCAGTGTTACGTTGGAAAAATAGAGTATGTGGTCCCAGTTATACATCCACCCATCTCGGCCACGGAGGACCCATATAATGTTTGAGAGGATGGTTCTAGACACTTTGTTGTAGGTCTGGACGGCCCATGTACCTTCCGAGATCCCTCGCAGTGGAGGCTCCCCTCATGCATCCTGGTACCTTACTTTCCCATCCCCTCCACAGCTCAAGCGAGGCAATTTCGACATCTTCGAAGCGGCCTTCCCCGCGCCCTGGAATTCAGATTGCTTTTGGTGTTCATCGGAATCATGGGTGAATGTGCATCCCGAATTGAATGATCTGAATTGCTATAATATTATATATATATATACAGTAATATAGTACAATATATACATATAGATATATTATATGTATGGCCATATATATAGCCATAAATAGCTATAATTTGTTGCTATGAGGCAACTATGGACATCAATAAGAGAACTCCCAATGTTGCTTGTTGATCAATGAAAGCTCCCTACCTATCTAAAGGACCAGGATCCTTATCCACTTCTTCCAGATTTACCCACTCTGTACTCTCCACAGTAGGGGTTCGGACCCGAACCAAAAGTTTGGATTCTTCATCACGCAGGTGGCCTTACGCTTCCTCTCTTCGCCCCGCCGCGGCCTCGGCCTCTCCAGCGCTGGCCGCTGGGGCGCGCGCCTGCTGCAGAACCGACAGGTGGCGCGGCTAGTCCTGCGAAGCGCCAACATGAAGCTTGGTGGAGTCGGAACAGAGCCCATGTAGTGAGTAGATTTAATTTGGACGCACTGTCGATGGAGTTGTATTTTTACGTACTGTAATTCTAGCTTTTGCTTGCCTAGTGATACGTGCTTATTTTCTTGTGCGTGAAGTATATTCCCCACAATAATGAGATATAATGAGCATCATCACTTGTGGAGGTTTTGGTTTTTCATCCTGAATGAGGTTTGGTGCTGTTGGTTTGATATAGACCGCCACCTGTCAGCTTGGCACAGATTATAGTAGTCGAGCCTAGGCCACATAGGGGAGTCTACAAAATTGTCGAGGGCTGAGTGGGGCGCACAGGCTCTTGTGCGGGTTCTGCATAGTATATTGTTATAAACTACATTTAATAATACATACACTATATATATATATATGTATATGTACACATGTATTTATGAGCACCAGGACTATACGTGAACACCAGGAAGCTTCCTCATGCTGGACTCTTGTCGCGCAACGAATGAGGAACTATAGAGCCGCACTTGGTGCAGTGCTGTTTCTTGGCGAAACGAGCCTAACTTAACACCTTGCAAGCAGACGGTCCTCAATACGGGTCTGCACTGCTTGGGTGGGTCGTGTGTTTGCGCAGTGCCTGGTGCTGCATGGCCCGTTCCGACTCGGCACGACGAGGAGTGAGAAACATCCCCAGGCAGGTGTTGACTTACGCAGGTGATGTCGTGCCAGTTCCTTCCAGGGAGCCACAGGGCGGTTTTTGGTAACTGATATATATATATATATATAAATGTATACAATGTCTCCAATAATTGTATATTACAAGTTTCTTTTTTGGGTATACAATGTCTTCAAGGATTCGGTCCAGTCATGTTAGACTCGTGATTAAAGAACCTTTAATAGCCCTCAATCAATCAAGAGGAAGGTTTCAATCAAGAGCCTGCGTCGGAGCCTGCGGACCCACAAAAGTTGAAGTCTCAAAGTTTGGACCATCTCCGCGGCCGCCGAGTCGCTCACCACCCTGAACATGGCTGTTTTGCATGTGGACAAGCTAGGGTGATTGAGAACGGCTTGAGATCCTGCACCTCTAAGCCATTCTTAGCCCTTCGACCTGGTGTGGTCTACCTATATACTAGAGGATTTGGCTACCGCTCGAAATTCTATGGTGATCGGCACCATTTTGGACAAAAAGCGCAAACTGAAGATGAGTTAAAACCTCGAGCCCTGGTACACCATGTAACTTGACCTTTCAGGTAGGTTAACCAAAGTGTCCTGGTTTTGACCAACAGCCAACTGATTTGCAAGCTCACTCGGCATCACCCAAGGTTCCTGTGGATTGCTTTGCTGTCCTACTCGGCCTCTTCCTTCGCCAACCGGTGAGATTGTCGTGAGCAATAGTGAGCGAACTGGTGCCCTAAAGGATGGTGAAGACCTTTTAATTCTGAGTATATTTTGTGAGGTTCTGGGTAGCTATTGGCATTTAATTTCATGCAGTTTTTTCTAGGCTTCATAGTGGGATGCCCGTAGAACATCGGAAAGCTGTTGCCCTATAAATCCTAGTCTACCGCCTACCGCTATGCACTGGCTGAATCTTGGAACAATGGCAGAATGACTATCGTGGCCTGACGGAATTTTCTTCGATGTGCCAAATGTGCATATCCCATTTGATGTCAGGACAGTTCATGAGGCACGGCATACCTTCATTCTGAAGTGGTCTGCACCACGAAAGGCTAGGAGGAGGCATGTGAAGAAAAACAACATAGACACACCCCAACCATGCTTTTCTTTGGAGAAAGATCTGGTCACCAAGCCAATGATGTAGACCTTTGAGTCATTAAGAAGTAAACACATATCGGAAAGGTGTTGGCTGGCAGTGCCTCACTTCGGGTCCTCCCTAACTTCCCACCTGAAAGGTCCAGGAGGTTCGGGTGCACCTCCGCGACGGCCTCAAGGAGCCCGAAAAAAGGGGAGCCGCAGAAGGAGTCGTGGAGGGATTGGTCGCCGAAAATCCCCGAAATACCCTGAATGGAAGGCACCTGCTTGGGAGGGGAAGTGGGGAATCGTTTTCCCCGGGAACTCTTTGAGATGCAGAAGTTCCCGAAACTAAAGCCCTTTTCCAAAGCAACAGGGCATACGGTTTTGAGGAACAGATTGCTGGAATAGCACCTCCAGAGGTCACTGAGAAGAGCTTATGAAGCTTGCGACATTCCAAGTATACCCGGTGTTTGGGGGTGAGTGGAAAGCACACTTCTTGGACCATACCAAGCAGGCCGAGCCCGTCGCGTCGCGCAAGGAAAGCTTCATTCTACTGAGGCCTGACCTTGAAAAGCAGAGGAGAGGCCTTGGCTCAGGTCTGCTGGGAGGCCTGGCGACATTACTGACCCTCTCGGCGAGGGCAACCTGTGAAACCGGGTTCAAAGGTACCTCCATCATGTAAATTAAACGTCAAAAGGTATATATGACTGCACGATCTTTGATTCCAGAAGGTCTTTGAAATAGTACATGGCTACTTGAACATGGCCATGATGTGAACCGCTCGCATCAATCCATTCCCAAAGGGAACAACATGATGCATGCAGACAAAGAATGATGTGATGTTCGATTCCCGGTTGTAGAAGATGTGATCTACAGTCTATATAATTATATATAGAGGTTACTTTACCTTATGAATTATATGTTATATGTCTTACTTAACTATAAATTTATAGATATTAGTACATCTCATTGTGTGTAGGCTATTCGGACTTGGAGTCAACATCAACCTGGTCTCAGACCTCACCACCCGACTGAGGCCACCTGCCCGTGGAGCTGTGCGCAGTTCTTCGTGACATGGAGCCACGGTCATTGGCAGCTCAAGTGGCCAAGGAGTGGCGAGCCTGGCGCCGACCATCACCGGTCCACAGAGCCTTCGTGGCGCTCCGAGACACGAAGAGACACCCATGCGATGTGGGGGCGGAAAAGGCCCCTGGCTTGGTATGAGCAAGTGAGGGTGTTCCTGAACCCTTTAAACCACGAACTTACATGTTAGATCAGAGTGTGAGCCAGATATAGACTTCCAGGGGTGACCTTGGTCAGTGATGTGGAAAGATTTGAACAAAAGAGAGGGAAGAGGGCCCTTCAAAACACGTGGTCAAACTTATTTGACCATGCTTCCACACCTGTGGAGTGAAGAGGCTGCAGAACATCCGGGAAATTCTGTGACAAACGAAGCTCGGGCGTTTCCACAGGCAAGTCGTGAAGAACAGTGACTTCTCTCGGTCTACTACACTCCCCGTAACAACCTTGGAACCACCTGTTCATAGAGAATGTCATGCTCATCCAAGGGACCATTTCCATTGCCATGCCTTTTCCAGGGAGTGTCTACCTGGATGTTGCAGAGGTGATTTTTGTCCAAGACATCAGACCAAAACATCCGTCCCCTGACTCATGCGGAACTGACCTCATGCAGTGGGGAAGGTCACCTTCATCGTTGCGCTCGGTCCTTCGCTGACACCGAAGGTTTGCCGCGACCGGCGCAGGAGGGCCAGGGGGACTGGCAAGTGATCATGACCAGATTTGGCTCCAGGCATTTCGCTTCGAAAAACAGATTGAAGAGGTGTCACCAGAGATCACTGGCGGACATGTAGATGTCACATGAAGTCACCAGAGATCACCTCTATGACATGCTTTGTGCAACCACAATCATTGACATTTGTATTCATAGGCCTTCTCACCAAGTCAGAAAGAGTGAATGCATGCGAATGCACATGTTGTAATGGCAAACTGCATCAACCTGTGGATGGCAGAAGCTACGTTCTTGAGGGATTCAAGAGACAAAGAAATTGGATCTCCATCAGAAGAGATGTTTGCCAACTACGAGCTGCTGTAGCCCACACTCCGGCCACCTGCTCACGTGTGGGCGCGAACCCAACCCATCGACCCATCGCCATGGTGGAAGGCGCTCCGCTCAACAGTGGGCCAACCCAAGAAAGTCCTCACCAAAATACGAAGAACAGATGCAGGGCAGGCCATGATTCATGAGGTGTCTTTCGAAATGCCAATCCCAGCAGCACAACATAGCACAACATACGAGACCGCCAGATGCAAAACTAGCCATGGGGCCCCTGAAACCATGTCTCCCAATGGATTCGTGCAGAAGCTCCCCCTCCCCACACAAAAAACCATCCAAAACCTCCATCCCTGCAGGCTTCTCCGAGTTGGTCCAGGCCTCGGGCATCTCTGTGCCCGCTCGCGCGCGCTTCGTGGGGCGGTTCTTGGGCTATACGACCTTCGGTGCGCTGACCTTTGGTGACGGGACGGCATTTTACGGCTCTTGCGATGATCGTGCAACGGGGAGCGAGCACGCAGATGTGGGCCAATAACAAAGCTGCGGGCACATGTGTCTACAATTGTCTACATACATGTGTATACAATATACATGTCACATGACAATTAAGTCTTTCATGTGCATCAACGGCAGCCAATTGTGGTTGCGGGCCGAAGCTAGAGGGCACTGGTTGGAATAAGGTACGGCACGCAGTGCACAAGGATGTTCATCACCCTGGGGCCATTCCCCCCATGGTCTAGAGTCTAGAACTGTTGCTCAATTGTTTTCCACACCAATCATCACCAATCTGTTTTTTTCTTTCCGGAGAGTGTGCCCCTTTCTTGGGTGTACACAGGACACAGGTGGCTGCGGAAGTGCAACCTCAAACAGGTGTCATGGGGTGATATCGAACTGCAGGGTCATTTTAGACATGGTCAGATGCCAGGCTGGATCCACCGAGCAAACCTGTTCATGTCATCCGAGGTTTGGTTTGTGGGCAGCTGGGCGTCTTTCTGCTTGGGCAGCAATGGAGCTCCGCCTCAAGCTCACATGCGACGGGAAGTAGATGACAGGAGCAACAGACTTGCCTCAAGTTGCTGCAGTAGCTGAACCCCACAAACCTACATAACATCAAGGCAACTCAATCTAGTCAAACCTTCCAACAACCTCATGGCAGGACGATTGCAGAAAACCTTGCCGGATTGACATGGCAGACATTCATACCAGGGGACATCAGGACAACAACATAATTTTGTTGGGAAGATTGAGTATAGGTCACCCCACGCTGTGCACAACCAGGCCGCATGATCAAATACTGATCACCTCGCCGCAAATTGGTAGAAGTGAGTAGAAGTGCGAAAACCGGAACCATGGAGAGTCAGAGAGCAAAGGGTACCATTGTAGTTACCCATGTTCCTAGGTACGAACTGAGGAGCGAACCGAGTGGATCCCGAACCACACCTGCTTCGTGGCTCAAAGGTGGGCGGGCCGGCTCCGGGCGGGCCTCGCAGCTCGCCATGGCGCCGCACCGGCGGAGCCGATGGCAGATCGCCCTGGAGCTTCAGGTGGGATCGCCGGGTGGAGAGGTGGGGCGTCGGATGGGAGGCGAGGGATGCTGAGACGATGCTGAGACGATGCGTTCGGATGGTTGGGTGATGGAGAGGATTCAATTTGGATGAGGATGAGGATGATTTTTTGGATTGATTAGTTTTCTATGTTCATCTGTCAGTTTGGATGATTTTGAAGAATGATTCCTCCATATTCCGGATGATTCCATTGTCCCAGTCAGAGGAATGGAACGTCCAAAAGTTTGCTGCAACATCCGCGGTTTTGGATGGGTGAGCTTCCACGTCTCTCCAACAAATAGAAGAATCTCCTGCTTAAGCATGATTCCATCGTCTTTTGCTTGGGGCGATGCATGTTCTCATGCCCACAGCACATGTGGTCGGTGGAGGGAGCGTTGATCATCACGAGTTCCCCCTACAGTATTGGTGTGCCCTAAGAATCCTTGAGCCCTCCATAGCAGGGGTCCGGCCCTCAAAACCCTACTTGTTTGAGGGCCCGGATTCTTAGGGTGGTCATTTTGCCTGCAACTTGGCGCCGTAGGACATCAAGTTCTCCGCGGCGCACTTCGTAGCTTTTGACCCACGGCCGGGTATGCCTGTGAGCCGTGCTCACAGCATGAGATGATCAGGAAAACCGTGGGCCCATCCAGGCGAAGTGAGAACCTTTGCACCCCCTGAAAGTGGAAACAATCAGTCTGAAGACTGTTTTTTTCTTCAGTCTGCAGGAAGAATTCTGCACGGACAGTATCTCCTGCCACTGATTCTTTGTCAAAACGCTGAGCTGGTTTACTTTGTTCAGCCAGTGGAGGCCCAACAACTGCAAGTGTGCCACCCAAACCAAAAGAACGCGGAGCCGCTGGCGTGCTCAGGAAGGCTACCGAGAGCCCTTGCATGGGCACAACTATTCGGTGGGCTGTCGGATTGGGTGCCAAGCACTACAGGACGATGGCTATGTGATGGATTTTGGAGATGTGAAGAAGGTGGGCCCAGCACTACGCCGCTGAGAGAGCGGGCCCCCAGCACTACTCTAGGAGAGATTCGGTTCTAGATGGTGTGCCCCGTCAAGGGACGAATTGCTGGTGCTAACAAACGGTGCAACGGTGTTTCTTACAGCACCCTGGAACTCACATGGAAGTGGAAAACGTTGGCTCCCTGTTTGTAGTGGAAAACCACCTGGTCTTCCAAGGAGCCATTCTGCCATGTGAGTTGCAGGGAGTGTACGTTTTTCTGTTTGTTTCGTACCAAGAGGTTTGAAGCCTCAAGGAGCTCAGGTGTGCTGCACAGCTTATATTATATGGGTCCTCAAAAGCGGATAGCAAGGAACAGCCTCTCCGCAGATAGCAAGGACATGTGGAACCTCTCCCATTTGCAAAAAAAACAAGGAGACAGACGGTTAGCAATTGCAATCAGTTGTATACAGTACAGTGTATATAAAAATATATAAAATATATATAGTATAATAAAATACTATATTATATATATACATATAGTTTTCATGTCCGCCTTTCGAAAGTTTTTCTTCAACAATTGCACTCTGCAAAAAACAACAACAAATGCAGGTCGTCCATGCCAGGACATCCACGTCGTCCGGTCCGTGTGCAACTTCGGTCCACACGCCACCCGCCGGTCACCGTGTCCTGCCACTCCGCCGCGGACGGACACCGGGTCCGGCCGCCAGGTGATCCGACAAATCGTCCGGCCGCTGAACCAGCGCACGTTGCTCCCCGCCAAGAGCGACGTGGTGCGGCTCGAGACGATGCGAGGTGAGGAGGAGGCGTTTGGTGTCCAAATCCACTGCCAGGATGGCAGCAAGATGGTTTTGCCCTTGCAGGACGGGCAAGAGTCCCTGAAAGAAGTTCAGACATATATACAGTTATATACAGTATGTCCTTTAACTGATCCGTGTTTTTGTTGTGTTGTTCTTGAAAGTCCGTTCCAGCGATCGTTACCTTTGTGCTTGCAGTCGGTGATTTCACAGTGCCAGGGCCAGTGATAGAGAGGTCAACAGATGTCAACAGTTCACATTCATTCATTCATAGTCATTGGCCTACCTTGGGCGGACCATGGCTTACCGTGCCGTCTAACCGAACATCCGCCCGTTCGTCAGATGCGCTGCAGTCAGGACTGCGTGCTGCTGCCAGTGGTGCACACCACCGCTGAGGAGCTGGCTGATTACATCGTTCAGGAGGTGATCAAAGAGTTGGGCCCTTCGCTGTCGAAGAGATGCTGCGAGTGGTTGGAAATTCAGGTCTCCGAGCGGCCGGGGCAAGCGGGTTGTTCGACCACCTACCTGAGCCGCTCGGCGTGTCCATGACGGGATGTCAATTGGGCGAGAGATCGGCGTGAAGCTTCCAACGTAAGCCGTCGGTGCTTTTGGATGCTTTTGGTCGCTTTTCTTGTTCAATGTGATTTGGGTGGAGTTGCGCAAGGAGTTTGTGCGTTGATTTTTGTTGGCCTATGTTTTTGGCTAAGCTTGGGGATGATGACGGTGATGATCGATAGGGAATGATGAGACGAAACCCATTGAAATACCAATCCGTTGACGCCATTTTCGGGCAGCAAATGAAATATATGGCCTATAGCATCCTATATTATATCGCTTATACTTATAGATGCCTAAAATTAATGCAGAGGCCTAGGGCCTAGGTGTCCGAATCATGTCGGATGTGAGGTGCGCAGAAGGAGCAGCTCACTATGGTGAGCCATGCGTGCCGCGAAAAACGCATTCCACGCCCATGCGTGCCTGAGCTGAGCTTCTTTGCCTGACCGAAACTGGCAAGAACACCTACCTCAGAATTTCTCGGCTCAGATACCGAAGATGATTTTAACATTATATTCTATGGATTTGAACCAAGAGTTCTGAGGCTTCGCGTGCACTGGACCAAACCAACATAATAACCCTTAGGATCCCTGTGGTAAAGGACGACTTTCCAAAGTGCCCTTGGGCTATATATTTATATATATATATATATATGTAAGACAAATCATATTGCCCCGCAAGTTTGGGCGACAGATGGGAGGGGTTTTCTCCGAGTATAAACTCCTTATCACCTTTGGACATTTGGGGGTGAACCTTCCCAAAGGAACTATTTCTATACTCATTATATAAGAGCCAGCTCGCTGCTTGCACAAGGGATGGAATGAACAGGTCCAACAAGAGATCCACGTTGGTGTGGTGTGGCATTCCTTCATTGTTTGTTGTTTCATAAGGACCATGCCAAATGGCTCATTCGGAAAACAGGTGTTACCTTTGTGGTTCTTGTAGGCCGTTTTCCTGTTATCTACCATGTTTTTTCATGCATCTACTATTTTGTCCTGCAACCTGGTCCATCAAGATCTGCAGACGATCACTACCACGTGGCTACGATGGGCCACATCCTCTTACGCCTTCCGTGGAGCCTCCCAGCTCACCTTCACCCAACGCCTATTGGTCGTCTTCTTCCAGCTTCATCGCTGGCTGCAGGTGATGCCCGTGAGTGCCGAGCCAGCCATGCCTGCAGTTGAACCGGCGGAGCCTGCCGAAGCAGAGCCGGACTTGGGAGACCCGGAGGATGTGGGAGAGGAGGCCTTCCGACGGCTCCTATCGACTCTGGGGCCTCTGGAATCTGGGCGCCCGCAGCTCTTGAAGACGCCCAAACGGGCGGCGAAGGCGCGGTGAACAGGAGCGATGAGGAGTGAGCCTGGAACTGTGTATGGTTATGTATGGTTCCTTTATAGATTTCCCATGATTTTCCAACGCTAGTTTGTATGAGCTTCATACATGTTTTCCTTGGCTCTTTAGGTTTCCAACCCCATGTGTGTTTCTTTTTGGGGCAGGTTGGCGGCCGTCTCTCTCTCGTTCGTGCTTTTGCCCCCCTGGCCACCGTCTCTCTCTCCGAAAGGCCTTCCGGGAGATGACGTTGGGTTTGCGCGTGGCAGATCCTTTGAGCGTGGCGCGGGAGGCGATCTTCGAAGTGGACGGTGCACAAGATCTGGTGGCTGTCCGGGGCATCCCCTTCTTCTCGAGCCTCGCAGGGTGCGATGACGTTTTTGTTCGTTTACGCCACCCTTTTTTAAGGGGGGCAGGAGGATGTCAGAGGTAGACTCCGGTAGACCTGTTTTGGGGCCCCGTGACCCGGTGGCAATCCGCATGTGACATCGGTGACATGTGGCATTTGGAGCTTTCAGGATGATGACGATTTAATACGATTTATGAAGGGTGTGATTGGCTTTTAAGTATCTACCAGGTTACCAGTGCAGGACAGATGAGGATAGTGCAGGCGCTCCAAAATGGAGAAGATCCACTCCACCTCATGTTCACGTCCACCGATCCCTGAAAGCCACGCGTATTTCGCACGATGTTGGGTGATGCTTCTGGTGTCCCGTCCACCACGGCCCGGATGTGAGGATGTGCGAGCACCACTTGCTGCCCTTTTATGGAACTGCCAACATTGCCTACTTCCCCAATGGCCGTGTTTTAGGGCTC